CACCCGAATAACATCGCCAAGCCGGTGTTGTTCACCGTTGTTCTCTTTTGTAGTGGTTGTGGTGCCGGGACTCTCGCAGGCCGTCCGAAAGACGGCGCAGATGTAGAAGATGATCCGGCTGATGCCGCCATCCGTGCGGGCGCTGCCCATGTAGGCGCGCTAGACAATGACCGCTGCTGCCGTGGGCCACGGGGTCCAGCTCATGCCAAAAATTAGTGTGTTAATTGCCATGGTGTCGCTGGTGGTCAATGAATCGGTGGCCTCGCTGCGAGTGACGACCCTGAAACGCCCTGAAGCCTGAATGTAGCTGACCCGAACGGTGGGCCTTTGCATAGTGCGCTGCCTGTGTGCAACACAAGCAGCCTCGAGGAAGGCGGTATGGGGCAGCTCTGTTTCGCGCAATGCCCTCGAAAGAAATTCCTACCAGGGCAATTTACGGGGACCCACAATGGTCTACAAATCAGGATGGAACCAGGCGCAATCAAACTGACGGAATCGGCTGCAGACGTCGCGGCAAACCTTCCTGGCGTTATCGATGAAGTCCCTGGACTGTCCAAAAGAAAAAGGAGTGGCGGATAGGCGGCCTCGTGCGCACCGAGATCTTGCCCGGAGAAGAAGGCCCAATTTCATCGAGTGGGTCCAGGGAGCCCCGACCAAGGTGGATAGGGGACCGCTCCTGCCAGCGCCGCCCGCCATGGTGCCCGAACGGGGCGTCCTGGCGCTTGTCCGACGATGTAGACGATGAGGAGCTCGAAGACGGGCTCGGTGTCAGATCAATTTGTGTGGTTCCTCCAGGAAGCGATCCAGGTGTGCGGCGTGCGCCGTACAAACGCGATTTGATGAGCACAAAAAGGTTCGAACCTCCTTGTTCCTTGTGCAGTTTGTAGGTGCGCCAGCAGACAGCAGACGGTGTCCGATTCTCCCGAGAGAGCTGGCTGAAGTAGCAGTCTTTGCCGATCTTCAACAGTTGGTGCAACTGTAACCGATCAGTGGTGTCCGCCGTCGAAGCAGCAGGTGTCCCCGAACGCACAATGGCGGCACCGGTAAAGAAATGAACACGAGGTGTTCCTGTTTACAGGCGCACCAACCTGGGATCCAAAATGGCAGCAGATGAAACAAAGTCAAGCAAGTAAATCCGCATGCTTGAGGTTCCTAGCTTGGTGCTATACCATTGTCCTCTACACCAAACCTCTGCAAGAGAAACCTACACACAAGCAGCGGCGCGCCTAATTTTTGCGTGGATTCCAACTGTCAAGCAACCCCAGGGCATAGGCTCTCGCGACGATTTGGTTCTCCAGCAACTACAACGCACGATCCCCTGTACAACGTCCATCTCCGCCACTGAAACACGCTGCGCGTCACTAAGCCGCAGAGCGGCCCACAGCATGACTGACAACACCACAATCAAGTAACACTCCCCATCTAAATCCTCCTCCTTGCTCATGGCCTCTAGCACGGACTTCTCAAAATTTGCAACCGCTGCCAGAGGCAAGGGGAGGGCCTCTTTGCGAGCCTCCTTGGCCTCAGTAGAACCGGTCCAAACTGTAACCACAGGATTTGCCAAGCACGCCAACAGTCTGTCCCAACCCAAGATGCCCGCGACAAACTTCAAGGAGACCACTGGCGCATTGCCCGCACGCTCAGCTGCACACAGGACAAGAAGCTGACCACAGTACTTACCTCCGCGTTGGCCGTCACGATCTCACTCCCATGCGTGAAGTCAAGCCACAGCTTCAAAGCCGGCAAATGTCTACGCAGGGTCCCAACAGCCTTACCACGCAGAATTCTCCAATTAATTCTGTCCACAGCTAACTCGCCCAGGTCCTTGAAGAAAGGGGACGAAGAGAAGAAAGGCTGCAAGTACCCAACCCAAGTCTCTGCCAATGACCGCCACTGCGTGTCCTCAAACTCCTTGGCACGGAACCCGGGCTGCACCTGAGAAGTAACTGCTCCTCCACTAAAGACAGGTGTCGGAGGGTCAACCGGGACCGGCAAAGAACTGTCCGCATCTACCTTTAAATCCTCCCCAAGAGGCCTTGGCAGGCCCCCCTTGCGCAGAGGCAGGTATCCCTACACGCCAGGCTCAAGCGACCAATTCAGCCGAGGCAAGCCTGCACCAGGAGTCTCGGGCTGTTTCAACTCCACGAAGGAAGGAGCCGGTCTGGGCTGCACGCAGCGCCCCGTGTGATATGGATCGGCTGCCTCCACCTTTGGACATGGAAGCCCAGGCCCTCTGCACAGCATCGCGAACACACAGCAAGCCCAACAGCAGACAAAAACAGCTGCAACTTCTGCAGACACACTCACAACAGTGTTGCAACTAGGACCTACAGATCCAACAGCTGGGCATCCACTGAATACAACAAGTGAATATGTACAAGAAGGTTAGGAGAGAGGGCCGGTGTTCTTGCCTAACCCAGCCGAACCGGGAACACCAACACATTTATCACGCACGCGCAAAGCAAACACACACGCAGCGAGCTCACATGCTTCATGGTGCAGACGGCTTTTGCACTGAGAAACAGTGGCAAGCTGGTCTCAACTGTGAACAAATGCATTCTGGGCACTTGTGCATAAAACTGCAAACCAAATCCCGAGCAACATCCATGCCCATCTCAGCTAGCCACCATTCGACAATGCGCTTGGAAATTGTCCAACCATTGGATGAAGAGCAGTTGTGTGGTAACCTCATAGCCGACACATACATCTCCACAGCACGAGGATGCTTGTTGAATCGATGCCTGTCTCTTCATCGATTGCAGGAACTCCAGCTTGCGAGACTGTGCTCGCTCCAGCTGGTCTAATGCCTAGCAAAACTTTGGTCACTGAGAAAAAATCTGGTCGCGGAAGTCCGCTCAGTTGCCGACACCCCTCAAAACGACATCCATTTGACCCTGGGTTTCCTGCCGCGCTCAATGCCAGGCAGCAATCCAACTTCAGCCAAGACTGCCAGCCAATCCTCGAAGTTCGCGTGGACCTACGTACCCAGGACCCAGAAAGCAAAGCCCCAACATCAATCAGAAGCGTTCTTTGCAGCCTCCATGAGCTGGAAATGTCGATCCTGCATAACCTGCAAAACCCACAACTCCAGCTGTGTGCAGCTTATAAGGCTTTCTGCCTCTTGCAGAATCGAGTTGTGTCTGCCCTGTTCGGAGTCAGACTCGCTGCCGGCCTTGCATTTTGCATGTCCACCCAATGCAACCAGATTTGCGTTAACCGTTAGCCGGCTTAGCCTGCATGGCCTGCTGGAAAGCCTGCAGAGGAAACAAGGATGCTGTTGGAAAGCAAGAGGGCGCATGAATAGATGGTTTCCTGCCCCGCAGTTCTCCGATGCCTCAACTGTCGACATCAGCGTATGCCCTTCATGCTCCTTTGCAGAAGCGGAGCATTTCTTGCAGGGAGCAGGCGCGCCTAATGCTGACACGGCCTGAAGAGGCTACGATCCCTGTGATCTGCCAGAAGCAAGCCACTTTGCAGCGATCAGTTCACGATCGGACATCGGCTGCCACTCTAAATGCTTCGTTGCAGTGGCGCTAGGATGCCCAGGGCTGTCTCCAACAGTGTACCCCGAGGTTCTAGGGCATGCTGCTTTTTCGCTGGTAGGGGTCAGGCATTCTCTGTTTAAACATTTGCCCATGCACGGTCCCGGCATCCGTATCCAGAAGCCCCATCATCGCAGGTTTCCCTTTGGTTGTGCGCGCATCCTGTCGGCTGGAAAGTTGGTTTCGTGCCGGTTTTGTCGGAGAAGCCGAAGTGTTTTTGCGGTGGTCCCATGCTGAGTTGAGCGGGCCATGGCAAAGCTAGCAGGAAACCAGCGCATCCTCCTCCTGCCAGTATATGCCAGTCGGAGTCTTAGTGTGTCGACTTTGCAGTGGTTTCTTGAGACAGAGAAAACAACCTTCTCCATAACCCAACAAAGGCAGGAGATAATTGCTTGGGCATTGGCGGGCTTCGGTTGGCCCACAAGAAACGTAAATCGAAATGATCTCAGGTAATGTTCAGGGGACCTACCTTGGTTTTTTGTTGGTGACCATGATTCTTTCGCCACCACGGGCCTCAACCTCCACGGAGTGGCAGGAATCGTGGCCAGGGCACAAGAATTTAGAAGCCATCCTGTCCTCCAAGTCAGTCCATCCAATGGACTTCATTGTGCCCTGATCCGGAGGTAACCCTGAACAACAGCTGGCAGGACTCGCGATTGTCTGAGCCACTAGGATCTAACTTAAGTTTCATCCGCAGAGCGGCGCGCATCATCAACAAGCAACCCAATTAAAACAGTGTGTTCGCTAGTTGATGGGGGGTGTCTCCGTAGCATTCGAGGGGCTGCACTGCAATTTTCGTGCATGCACATGCACTTGACTTCGCGGCACTGCACTCCTCAAATGCAGCCCTCCTTTGCTGCCCGGCCATGAGCTTGGTCGGTCAGCATCCTTAGCATGACTTGGGCTTCTCATCCACGTGCACGTAGCAGGGCTTGCAGAGCTTCGTGGAGGTCTCAAGAGGTCTTCCGAGGAATGGGTGTGGGACTCCCGTGGCACCTGGGTCAAGACCAACAATAAGAAAAAAAACACGACATGATGCAAATGGTGCCCCCAGCCATCATATCACCATCACCATTCATTTCTCACCTGAAGGCTTGCGCGCTGCCTACGCACGCTACGTGAGGCTTCATTCATCGAATTCATGAGGGCATCGTGGTACGGATGTTTTGGGGCGTTCATGAGGCTCCATGATGTTTAATGACAATTAGTCAGTTTCAGCAGGATTTCTCGCGGTCTTCATATTCCCTTCCTGCAATCTATCCAGCCAATAAAAAGCATGGACACTAATGAAAGACCATGTTGCCCCTCCCCAGCGCACCCCATCCCTCGCGCCAGGACCCCTTGCCCATCCCAATGCACTGTTGAGCAACCACTTCTGCACCCTCGGCCGTCAATCCTGCCATGTGTATATACAAAGGGGCCCATAATCTACTTGCCATAGATGTCCTTGCCAACACCCCTACACCCTATGCCCCCTGCCAAAAGACCTGTTTTAGGCCCCAAGTAGCTACTCCCCCAGCACCTGTCTACAGGGACCCCTGAACTCCTAAACACTAGATGTCCCCTTTCCGTACCCCCCCATGCATACCCGCCATGCACTCCTTCAAAAGGACCGGACACCTAAACCCTACATATCACTTGCTGAGAACTCCCTAGCCATCTGCCTCAATATCCCTTGCTCATACCCCCTATGCACCACTCTAAGCGGACCCCTAGACCCTAGATATCCCTTGCCCATACCGGCCCATACCCCACCTCCCAACCCCTCCCCCGCCCAACATCTTCCCTTTCCCATCCTTTCCCATTCTCTCATGATTCCTCATGTCCACCATATTCCACCATCTACTTCCTCAGCCTTGCGAGTGGAGCCGAGCTGAGGCAGCCGAATCGAGCCAAGGCGGACGGCGCAAAGCGATTAGAATTGACAGATTGACGGAGGGGAACGGGTGAAGGATTCCAGAGAAGGGTGACTGGTGACTCTGAGAGTCTTTGCGGTATGTGCTTCTGAGATTGTGTCTGAATTAAACCTGAAACGTTGGCCATTGGGTTTGCACACAATTGAGTCCTTTCTGGCATGGTCCCCGAACTTGTTGCACATGCGGCAGAGCATGACCTCTCGAGCAGGGCCTGTTCCTTCCAAAGCCCTCATCTATAACTATCAACTTAACTTATCCTTGGCCTTGCATTGCAAGCACACGCTTTCGTAGCGCTCAGATGGATGGTGTCGGCAAAGGCCAAACTGTAGAGGTGAGTGTTCCAGCGCAAACCTTTCCATCAAAGCTTGCAAAATGGCGTGCCGCCAAGAAGTTCGCCCTTACCATGCTGCCTCTGATGCCGAGCGAAAAACTCGTTCTCCGAGTGATGCGATGCATCACACCTGATCTTAGACGCATTGCCGTTGCAAAATGAGAAATCCATTAAATCATGGTGGCTGCTCGGGGCTGAGGCAGGCAAGTTGCATCTATAAGCATGACTAGGTCCGGCGCGCAGCACAGAAGTGGGCATTGTCGTTCCTCTGGACCACGCAGACTAGGTTCAAGAACCGGGGTCATGCTTACAGACTCCGTACCGAGGGCAGGGCTTGCAGTAGACGCTTGCAGCTCGTTGCTCACAATATTCACAGATCTTAGCTCGCGAGCTTCTTCGCAGGCAACGATATAACTAGAGTAAAACTCTGTGCACTCATCAATGAACCTACTGCAAATAGCAAAGATCTCTGATTTCTTGGCCGGAAGGGAGCTTTCACCAAGACAGTTCCTATCGAATCTCGAAAGTTCGGAACCAGCAAGGGTTGGACGCCACTGACTGTTTCTATGTGCCTGCTCCCACCACAATGCTCATGATTCTTTAGGGGGCTCTCTGCCGCACCAAAGACTCTGACTGTTTCCCGGCTGAAATACGAGACCGTCCTACTCCAGCGTAGAATGATGTTTGATGAACGAGCTGCTGTTCCATGAGCATTGTCTTGTGAATGAGAACCAGCTCCATGCAGATTTAGAACTGCGACTACTCAATGACTGGTGTTGCCTGTACCTGGCCTGCACAGATCCCAAAGCAAGTGTCAGTCAGCATCCCTAATGTTGTTCCAAAGTACCTGCGGCTGCCTACGGATTCTCAGAATCTAGCCCGGATTGAACTGAAAGGCTATCACACAGAATCAAATAGTGTGGGCAGCGGCTCAGATTTTGTCTTCAATACAATGTTCCGCCTTCTTCACTTTCCATCTCCGGGCATGGTATTCTTTCCAGGTCGCTTGGCATCCTGATTCTATCCCCAGAGAACCTGCAGCACAAATTGATCCCCTGTCAGCCTCTACAGTGTGGCCAAGTCTTCTGCCAGTGGCTTGGCAATCGCACGTCGCTCCTCAAAAACCACCTTCGAGCAAGATGCCAAATGAGTGTCACATAAGCAGAAGAGCAAACTCAGCGTAACTGACAAGATTGCACATCATCAACCATACAGTAACTGGCCAATAAGGAGGCTGGTAGAAGCTTGCAAAGATTCCTCACAAAACAAAGGGCTACTTTTGGCGCAGGCACGAATCGCAAGATTGGCAAGCTGCAGGCTGCTTTGGCTTGCCACGGCTTCAAGAGACTTTTGATGCTAATCCGAACCTTCTGGCCAACACGCAAAACTCATCGCCCTGCCTCGCATAGGGCAAAAGGCAGCACCTGATCCCGATGTCGAACACGGTACACCCTAGCATGCAGGACTATGCACAAAGGCCTTCCAATCTCAAGGACAAATCTAAGCATGCCCGCGAGTCTGCTGCCAGTCCGCAACAGGATCTGCATGATCGGCTCCACGGGCTGCCAGCGAACCAAATCAGACATCTTTTGAACGTGAGCTCATGTCTGTGACGGACATACTGGTTCGTGCCATACATTTGAAGTGGACTACACACAACATGCGTGATGTGTGCGTGCAGTTGACATCACTGTGCGTTCCTTAGCACACACGCTAGCTAAGCTGCCCATTGCCAATTTTTGGTCAGATCCAAAGCCTCTTGCTGCAAGAAGGGACGCCTGGCTTCGAACCAGACATGACCTGCCATGATCAGAGATTCACGACTATTCCACAGCATCATGTATCAGCCTAATGTTGCAACAACATTCAAATGCAACATACATTCCGGGGCTGCGCAAAGAATTCCGGAAACTTGGGAGGATTGCCGTCCTTTTGGCAGCACGTTTGCAACTACGGCACAAGGCGCAACATGAGAGTGAGAGAGAGAGTGGAAGAGAGAGAGAGGGAGCTCCTTCACCATGCTTGCCCTGCCCAATGCGATTTTGCAAGCCAAAAAGGTCTTGGCCTGGCACAGTCTGGGTTGATCTGTCCGATGCTTAGAGAGATCTGACTCTGACTACTTAGAATGCTTCAAGCATGTGCGCTGCCTCCCCACGTCTCAATGATCTTGGCAACTCCAACGATCCCACCTGACCAAGCATGATGCGCATCCCTTCAAGAAAGCAGACGAAATCAGGCCAGCAGCGCTGGAAACTCAACATCACGCCAGTCGACATCTAAATAGCCTGCCTGAGACATTGGCAATTGGGCGAAGCCAAAAAGGATTTGTCATGTTCCAGCCTCAACCAGCTCTGCCCAGTCGCGGCCGGCTGGTATGTCTCCAGCAACATCCTGCCCATCATTTTAGCGTTCCGTGATGTTCCGTGACAATCCACTAGCACATCTTCAAGCCCTTTGCACACTCGTTTTTCCATTTCCGCTTGTGTTCATCATCTCGAACGCTGCTTGACTGCTGCGAGCAAGCCTTTCATCAAGCGCTTAGTAAAAATCTCAATCTTTAGCGCTGAAATGTATTTCAGCGCTTAATAGATTGAACTGCTGTAGACCGCAAGCTGAATCCAAATCCAACTTGCTGCATGCTTACCCTGGCGTATGAATTTCCCACTCCTTCGTTTAGGTTCCCTCGATGCTGGACTCATCTCACGTATTTAAGGGAAGGTCTTTGGCGAACAAAGAAGTCTGTAAGAAACGCAACTCAATACTTGCCGATATGCAAAATTAAGGGGGAGCACCGCATGGTGATTAGCACGTCTCGGTTGATCTCTCGTCAGTTTACACACGATATGCTTCTCGTTTGTAACATACCTTGCTGTGTGCTTATGCTTGTTGTACATCTGCCTACTGTCATTATTAGTGTAGACTGGCACGTGCAACCTTTCTTTAGGAGTGAGATATACGCGCAAAATCATGCGAATGGCAACGAGTTCTTCGAAGGAGCAGACAAAGGAAGGAGGCCACATGCTCATACCATCTGAGACCGGACATCCCCTTCATTTTCAAGTTGCCCTCACATTGCAGAAATATCTTGAGAACATGCTGCATGCAAGACGATAGATTGAAGTCGTTATGTGAGAAAGCCATGCTCATCAGTTCGTCAAGCAGCCATATCCGTGCTAGCTCGTTAGCGCCCTCGCTATGCGAATAATCATGATCGGACCTCAGCCAACGATTGGCTGATAGATTTCTGAGCAAAACTCTTCAGACCAACGCCAAGCGCCAGGCAATGCCTGGTGGTGCCAGGAACCTTCGGACACGGCCGAAGCCATTGACTACCACAGTCGAGCTGCTCTTCAGGGGCCACTGTCGGCATGTCTGCAGCAAGCAATCATGATTGTGCGGAGGAGAACAGGGGATCCCACATGACCGCCTCGTTCAGCACCACCACCAGCAACAGTCTTGCGGATGGCAGACACCAGACTGAACGTCTGTTTCATAGTTCGATGCAGATCATGGCTGGGAATAGCAGCCGCGAGAAAAACGCAAGAAATGTCGGCAGCCCCAAATTAGTGACCCTCTCCATCCCCCTTCACCTCTCAGGATCTCTCATGCAGCCCGAGTTCGCACCACTAGCACACGCACAAGCACTGTTCGCACTGGTAACCTTGCGGTGCAGAACCATACAAATACCGCATCGTTGAATAGCTCTTTCAGACAATGCCAAGGGAGCGATGTCAAATTTCGCAAGTGGAACGTGAACTCAAACGAGATGGAAGCATTTCCCAAGAGGCCAAGCTTCGGACTTCCTGCAGCCCCGTTCGAATGGAAAGGACCTCTCTTCCGAGAGCGCCCACGAATCTGGAGACCGATAGCAGGCGCCTTGCCGATTTGCTGCTCCTCGAGCAATGCCGCCTGTAACTCACGCCAAGCCAGGCAAGAATATGGACTGACAGGCTGTAGGTCAGCGACCACAGCTGTTGCTTGCGGAATGGCCTTGCCAAAATCATTGTTCTCATTGATATAGCAGATACTTGCAAGACAGCTACGATGCAGACATACCCAAGGGCATTCAACTCGAGCACTTCCGAAGCGGGCTTCTCCTGTTTCGGTTACTGACAATGATGATGCTGCTGCAGGTAATTGAAACAGGTGACCAAAAGCTGCTTACCTGAGATCCAGCCAGCATTACCTTCGCCACGCGCACATAGTAGCTGGCACCTGGATGAATCTTTCACAGACCCCGGTTCGACAAAGGCGTTCTCAAAACTGTTATTCCATGTCATGCTCGCGTTTCAGGTAAAAATGTGCACGACCACAGGCGGGCAAAGCCAAAGTCAACCCTGTGACCAAGCAGGCTGTAGGAGAAAGGCAATTATGTCTAGAAAAATGGTAGCGAAGGACACCTCCAGCTTTGCTGAAGCTCAGTTGTCATATGATAGCATGTGGACAGTGCAGTACAATGTGCATCCGTGCTCTGAATGCAGGTGTGTTCAATAGGTCTCTTTGGTAGAGGCTTCGAGAGGAAGACGTCATTCTTGAAACAAAGCATCCTTGAACTCACAAGTGCAGGTAGAAGACTTTCAATCCTGCTCTGTGAAGCCCAGGCCCATGGAAAAAGTGTTCTCTCAGCATCCCTCGCTTACAGAAGACAAAGTGGCGTCCACGATTTCTCGAGAGCTATACAGCTATACAGCTATACCTACAACTGTTGGTCATGGCAAAATTTCCAGCACGACCTCCCCTGCATGACATCAATCAAAACATGGTCTGCACTTCATGGTCTACATGCAACGAGGCACACTTCCCCTACCTACGCGTAGTGTGTTTTGTTTTTCTTTTCGATGGTTCGTTAAAGCAGAGACGGGCTAAACCCTCCATTTCCCACTATAATGTCCGGAACAAGCACTCTACCAATATGAATATGTGGTTTTGCTACGAGCTTTTTGACGATTTGTGGCGTTCTGAAGATCTGGATGGATTTCGTTTCATTTTAAGACCCGGCAAAGGGCATGAAATCGATCTTAAGCGTGCGGAAGCCTTCAAAACCAGCAAGGCAGGAGCTGAATCGATATCAAAACAGCTTGAGACTGATTGTAAATAAAGTCCATTCTGAGAGCATGACTTACAATATGTTTAACTCGACCTTGAAATGGAAATCCAAGCCTTCTCTCTACTATAGTGTCATGAAAACAAAAAGCCACCGTACTGCTGCTGCACAAGCTGCCAATGTCAGCCAACATATGCAGCAATTGACTGGATATCCAAGTTCTATTTCTTGAGCTCACGTAATGGAAACGGACAGGCCAAGGGCCTTAAATGGAGAATGAGCCCCCAATCATGCTGATATATGCTGATGATGCAGCATCATCAGCATCATCAACATTGCCAAGGGATGCCAAGGGTCCATTTCGCCTTTCCGGGCCCTACTATACAACTACTAGTCCAACCATTCCTGCTTCTACTATGATGCGCTTTGTGTCCTGTTAGTTACTGCGCCTGCTACTCTTGAAAACTTGCTGCACCCGTTGGCCATTGCTGTCTCTAGATGTTCGCTACGAAGGCGGCAGGGCCGGCCCCTGCCCCCTGCCGCCGGGGTCCAGGGCGGAGGCTCTACAGAAAGTGGTGCCACAACCTCCGACCCCCGCCAACATAATCGGACCTCAGTTTCTCCCGGGGGCCCTTTCCGGACCCCACTCCAAAAACCTAGCCGAAATTCAGTCGCTTTTGAAGCAAATCCCCAGGCTACGAAGGGATTGTTGAAGGATTTTGGGTCCTTCCCGACCTCCCAAATCAGCATCATGGGCACGGGGGTGGGACCGAGAAAAGGGCCATTGGGTACACAGGGGGGCAAACATGGAGAAACACATCCTTAATGATGCGTTTACATCGCTGCCCGAGTCAGCACAGCTCTACTTTTTTGACGCTGATGATGCTGGCCAAGAGGGCTAGCGTCATCAGCATCATTGGCATCATCGGGGTCCAGTTTCTCCTTGTGAGGACCCGAACAAGAAAATCCAGAGACCATGAATCCGCGCCCATGGATTATGACCCGAAGCAGTGAAGCTGTTTGTCCTACTACGCTGCAATAACTGAAATATTTTCATTCACCACTATTCCCAACACTCCTCCTTCTATTATACATTCTTGTACTATCCGCCGATCTCTGGGGCGGTGCCCAGCAGGTGCATTGACTACCCAAGAAGGAGAAACTAAAGGTCGGGGCCTTGGGAGCCTTGAGGCTCTAGGGGTTGGGGGCTTAGGAACCTTTGTAGACCCTGTCAGTGTGTATTTGCGGGGTTCAGATTTCAGCAGAAAATGTCATATATTTTGCTGTTTATGAAACATCATCTAGGAAGATCTCTCTAGAACTTTGGGAGATGCTGGGGAAGCTCTAGGATAGCTTCGGGAAAGCTGTGAGATTGACCAAGACTTGGGTTGAGGGTAGGGTGATGAGGCACCGATGTTTTTGGTTTCTTTTTTCGGTGCCCCCCCAGGTCTTGGCCTGATCACTTTCATAGCCTCCCTAAAGCCATCCTAGAGCTTCCCCAGAATCCCATAATATCCTAAAAGTTCTGGAGAGATCTCCCTAGAAGGCCTTCAATCCTACCCTTGACCCTTGCCCAGGCTCTTTTCGGCGTTCCTTTCCTTCCTTCCTCATGTACTTTTACTATCAGCAAGGACTAGTGTAGACATGCGTAGTTGTCACAGTGAGTAATACCATTCACCGGCTTCCTTGTACATTACTCTTTGACTCTTTTCATTGATTCCTACCCCTACCGAAACTAGATTTGCTTTTCATCTGAAATAGTTGGTTAACAGAGATGGTGCCAGAATTCGAACCAGATGTACTATGGAACATGACAAGTAGCAACCCAGTTGCATGGCACACTCATTACTTTAACGGCATTCATAAGGGAGGAATACAAGATATGCACCCGCTGGTATGACATGTAGTTACTTGGGCCAAACACAAAACGCAGTATGTCAGTTCCTCTTGCTGTATTAAGAGGAACCTTACCAAATGTAAATATATATTAGGGGGAAGCATTTCCTAGTACACGTAATACAGCAAATAGTATAAAACATGTATTAGGCTGTAGTCCCCAGATGCACCATTATGCTGATATGAGTCATCCAGCGCATATGAGGGATTTTGGAAGGATTTTTGGGGTCCCGGGCCCCCCAAAAAAACATCATGAGCACAGAGGTTTTTCCCGAAAGCGTGGCGAACAGTTTTTCAGCGGAGGTATAGTCTTTCTTGAAAGGTTGTCGTTATCGTCGTCGCGTTATCGTTGATGCGTGGACGGATGTTGTGATGCACGGGGTTATTGTTAATGCATGGATGGATGATGTGATGCCGTGATAGAAAGGATGGCGTGACGTAGCGGGTTGGTGATTGGTAAAACAGATGGCACGAGGTATCGGATGGAAAGGATGGCACGAGGTAGCGGGTGGGTGAATAGGCTGGCGTGAGGTATCGGATGGATGGATGGATGGATGGATGGATGGATGGATGGATGGATGGACGGACGGACGGACGGATGGATGGATGGATGGATGGTATACTTATCTCATAGAAGGTCGTCCGGATGGCTTCCTTTACTAAGTTTAATTGGAATTTAATCTTCTTCAAGCACGGGTAAGGTTGGCGGGACGGACCGCATGCTCAAAATCGCGCTGGCGCGTAGCGTCCTCGAGATTCTCAGCGCGAATAACGACCCTCTTTGTCCGCGGCCCGTCGTGACGCTGGCGCGCGGAGCGTCCTCGAAAAATTCTCGACGCGAATGACGACCCTTTCGGTGTCCCCGGCCAGTCGTTTCGCTAGCGAATGACGACCCTCTCGGTGTTTTTGGCGGGTGGCTCAAAACTGCGCTCTCGCGTGGAGCGTCCTTGAAATTCTCGGCGCGAATGACGACCCTCTCGGTGTCCCCGGCCCGTCGTGACGCTGGCGCGTGGATTGTCCTCGAAATTCTCGGCGCGAACGACGACCCTTTCGTTGTATTCGGTGCCTGGCAGCACTGGCATGTGGAGCGTCCTCGAAATTCTGGGCGCGAGCGACGAGCCTCTGGGAGTTTTCGGTGCGTGGCAGCGCTGCCGCGTGGAGTCCTGCGAATCCTGTTCGGAATCAGCAACCCTCGCTGTTTGGCCGCGTGGCAGCGCTGGCGCGTGGAGCGTCCTGAGAATTCTGTTCGGAATCGATGACTCTCTCCCCTGGTCGCTTGTGGATCCCGGGTAGATTTAGTAAATGGAGTGCTGCTTGCTGGCCAATCTCGCAAGTGCGGCGAAGGGTCCCTGATAGTCCCTCGCCGGAGGTGGTCTTCCTTACGCTTGTCGTTATCGTCCATGCGTGGATGGATGTTGTGATGCACGGCGTTATCGTTGATGGATGGGTGGATGTTGTGACCTGCGTTTTACTAAAACTGGACGGTTGTGTCAGGTCTTGCTCACTCCGCCAAAACGCTTTCAGGACAACTGCTCTCTAGTTGAAAACCAGCCCTGAGGCCCATCTGGGCGCGGGCACCAATTTTTGCAGGTTGGAGCGGGGTGCTGGAAGACCTCAAGACCGGAGAAACAAGCCTCCAACGATGCTGATGATGCTGGCCCCCTGCGACAGCATCATTAGCATGATTGGGGGCTCGTTTTTCCATGAAGGAAGCCCCGTTAAGTAAAGTACTTCTTGTCCTCTTACTTGCTGCCCCGGCCACTCTTGCCATCGCTGTTTTTCCCGAATGCGTAGCAAAAGGGTTCCCGTTTTAAGGTTGGGGTCCAGGGGTCCAGGAGTCGACGCGAGGTCGTTGCGTTTGTGGACGCAAGCGTTCGCGGAGCGTCCGACTTGTGTCGGACTTGCGTCGGACTTGCCGGAGACGAAAATCGTCGCGAAACGCAGAACTGTCGTCACTTTTTGCGTTTCGTATTACAAAAGTGTCAACCGGGGAGTGGTCGGAATGGTAGGGGTGAATAACTGGTAAACTGCTTCAAGGCATTGTGTCTGGGCCCGGATTTGTCCGATGTCTGGTCTTTTTGATCCAACGAGGATTTCCTCGTTTGGGTCCTCACAAGGAGAAACGGAAACCAGGTGATGCTGATGATGCTGGCCCCCGTAGCCAGCATCGGCGTGTCTGGGGGTCCGTTTCTGCATTTTTGGCCTCCCCTGTACGGAGGGCCCCAGTCGCCTAGCTGAGCTGTGCATATTTGAGGGGCTGCGCCCAGGTGCAGGC